CAGTGACTGCAACTGGGTTGGCGCGCCCCAGGCTGGGGCACCCACCTGTCTGCGTAGGACTCCAGACCAGCCACTTCCTAGGACTTCTCACCTGTACTCAGAATAGGGCCCACAGTGCCCCCCAACTTTCTGAGCCAAGTTGCTTCAGTTCAGTTCCTCCTCTTTCCCCTCCATAGGCCTGGGAAGAGAGGCTGAGGCTCAGGAGGGAGGGCCCAGATCCTCAGCCACATCACCAGACAGAGCAATAGCAGCAGCAGCACAGGAAGGCAGCAGGGGAGGGAGAAGGCAGAGAACATGACATCCACATCAAACTGTTTCAGGGGACAGGATGGGGAGGCAGGAACAGCACCAGGCTGAATCGGCAGCACGTCCACCAGAGCGTCTCTCATCACTTTATCAAGTCCTAGTGCAGTGAACTAACCCCCTGCCCTGTGCCCAGCTCCCTGGGGTGGCCCCTCCCTCCCCTGGCTCAGAGTCTCTGCACCCCCTTCCCCTAGGAGGCCTGGGGGTGGGTGTGGGTGGGGTGGGCCTGGGCCGGACTGGAATGTGTGGAGCTGGTGGGAGAGTGTGGGGACAGGTTCCCCTTCTTGCCCCCACTGGGGGCCTGAGTGGCCTCATCCTCAAGCCAGCTTGAGTGTGCTGACCGGGAAGGAGGGCATGGTGACCATGGTCACAGGGTTGAGCACTGTCTGGCCCACCAGCTGGGGGTGGTGCACCACCTGAGCCCCCACGGCTGGCTTTGCCATGACGGTGGTGGGGGGCCCCAGCCCAGCTGTGCCATTCACTTGCTGGTGCGAGAGGGTGTGGGCAATGTGGCTCACCGCCACGGGCTGGCTCACTGCCACAGGCTGTGGGTACAGGGGAAGCTGGGAGCCAAGGTGGGCCACGTGGTTAAGGGTGGCAGGGTGCACTGTGATGTGGCCAATAGGGGGTGTGGCAGGTGCCAGCTGCACAGCAGGGCTGGGGGCTGAGGGGGCAATGTGGGCGATGTGCTTGCCGCCTGGCCCCTGGAGAACGTGGTTCACAGTCTGGATGACTGAGGCGTGGGTGGTGGCTGTGTGGGCGATGACCGTGGAGCCTCCCCCAGATGCAGCCATCAAATGGGCTGGAGCTGGTACCAGCGTCTGGGCAGGGGCAGCTGGTGGGGGAGGAGGAGCCGGCAGAGGTGTCTTCTGCTGTGGTGGCTGCTGCTGCCCAGGCAGATGGGCTGGAGACAGGGCCACAGGCTGGGAGTGGGCGTGTGGGTGGGGAGGCAGAGGCACAGGGGCGGTGCTGGGCGGTGGCTTCGGCAGCTCCGGGTGGGGGCGATGGCTCAGCTTGGGTAGGCCCAGGCCGGCCTGGTCCTCCTCCATATCCTCATCTATGTTGTCCTCGCCCTCTGTGGGGACACGAGGACAGGGACAAGTCAGAGGGCTTGGAAACACAAGGCTGAAGAAACAGATGCCCCTGGGGCCTGGGGACATCATGGGGCTGGGATGGGAGGGCATCTTTTCCAGCAGGCAAATGCCTGGCCAGGGAGCCTGACATCTGAGAGGTGGGGCTCACCAGAGGCAGTAGAGGTGGAAGCCTGGTCGTCCTCGGGCTGGCCTGTCTGTCGGAGCACACGGTCAATCTCTAGCACGTCCATCCACTGGCTCAGCTCATGTTTGAGCTCCGCTAACCGCTGCTGCGTGGCGATCTTCTCCCGCGCCAGCCGCTCCATCTCATGCTCATATTCCTTCTCCTTCCTCTTCAGGGACTGGAGAGCAGGGCAAGGAAAAGCAGGATACCCTGAGCAGCAACCTTGGGGCCCACAGTATCTCGAACGTCCCCCCACAGCCACCCTTGCTTCCAGATCACCTGGTCCACAGGGGCAGGTCTGCAGTGACTAGGGGGCTGATGGGGGCTGCTGGAGACCACACCTGCCTCCTGGGCCATCCTCTGCCCAGTGAGGCCCAGTGTCCCAGGACTGTGGGCTCTCCGGCAGGTGTCATTAAGAGAAAGCACAGATCCAGGTCAGCGACTTCCCCTTCTCCACATCAACTCTGTCCTGAAGGGCTTCGCTGCCTCTAGCACCATCCACCCTCCTGGCAGCACCTCCCTCCATTCTGCAGATGACAAAAGGTGTCACAGATGTCTCGGGTATTGCCCAAGGCCTATACATACCACCATTCATACCATTATGTCACCCACTGATGCCGGTAGCTACCCTCCTTGGAACCCATTCCCCATAGAACCCCAAATGGGTCAGCCCTTTTCTCCACCTCATCATTCACTAGTCTACTTCAGTGTTCTTAGAGGATGACCCACTAGGCTTTGTAAAACCCCCACATTTCATCTCCTTGATCTGCTTCTATCTGGCCCCCAGCGGCTGCTGGCTCTGCACCTCCTCTCTGACCTCCTAGGTTACTCCCTGAGCCTCTGTTTTCACACTGCTCACAGCCCCTAGACTCCCCAGGCTGCTGAACCACCCTCAGCCCTGGATTGTGCTCCTCCTCTAACACCTGTACCTGAGTTGCAATGACCAATGAGAAATGGCTCTCGGGGTGCTGGGCAGCATCGCTGACTTGACTGAGCACCCCTGGAGAGGCTTCTGTCTTTCCCACAGGTTCCGGGTCACTCTCACCCGAGAAGCTGATGTCACCCACTTCGCTAAGAACACCCTTATGCAAGGTGCCATCTCTGCTTCAAGTTCTCCAGGGCCACAGGCGACCATATGCCCCTTAGGCTGACCCCTCACATAGGGGCTGGATGCCCCGTCTCTCAGACTGTGGCACTGCTCCCTATCAGAAGGGTCTCCAGTTTCCCTTTGCATGAGGCTTAATAGCAGCTCCAAAATGCCAGCTCATGTCCTATTTCTTGGCTGCCTTCCACTCCGAGTCTCAGCCATCCTCCATGACCTCCTGACTCTGAAACCATTAAACCAACCTAAGTTTCACAGGCCTCCCTGTTGCTGGCTTCTCCTCGGCCCACGCATGTCATGGCTGCTGGGTCAACCAGATGACACAGATAGTCCTGCCCTGCTATCTCCCGGGTCTCTTACCCGAACTGCTCTTGAGCTTCTAGCTTTCAAGGCTTGCCAGTCACGGCAGTGCAGAGCTCACTGGCTCTTCACAGACCAAACTCACCACTTGGTCTTGGTTTGCCTCTCCCAACCTCATGTATCCTGATGCTCACATGTGGCTCCTCCCTTCTCAGTCTTATCTGCTCGTGCTCCAAGACCACACTTGGGCCCCATCTCCTCCACGGCCCTCAACAGTACATCCTCCTGACAAACACCACATACCTGAGCATTTAATGAAACTGTCAGGGTACACTTAATCAGACAATGACTCACATCACAAAATATTTCATGTTTAGTTTTCCACCGCATACACACTGTCCTGTCTGACCCTGTGAGAAGGCAAGGACTCTCTGTAGTTAGCGCATATCCCCTGGCTCCACCACCCAGGACAGAGCTGTGGACAGTGTCTCACTTGGCCGCAGGGGAAGAATCTGAGGATGGGAGTGTGTGAGCTCCCACCTCTACCCTGCCTCTCCCTTCATCTCAGGAGAATCACAGTCACCCATTAGATTTGAGTTTCTCGATTTCATTTCCTCAGGGCAGCCTCTCTTCACTGTTCACCTGCCCCTCTTGGGCATGGCAATGTCTTCAACTCTACCACCAACTAGGCCCAACTTCCCCACACTCCCTCCTACAGACCTTAATTCCTTACCTCACCAGTGAGATACCTCAAATCATTCATGCCTGCAACACAAAGCCCAGATACAGCCATGCTCGGTAGCAGCCCGAAACCTGGTAGCTTTTCACTTCCGTAGCCGTCCCAGGCCACACAGCCCCCTCTATCTTCTTGGCTTTGAGATTAACCTGCTTCTCCCCATATTTCTGCCAGAAAGACCCCTTCCTCTTACCCACACACACCTATCTGGCTTCTCACCCAAAGAGGCCACTGCTAGACATGACATCAGTTGAGGCCACATAAATGACAGGACCTGTGGTGAGTCAACCCTCACTCCAACCTGGCTGCTGCGGGCTGCAAGTGGCCATCCTGAACTCTACCTGCTAGCACGGCGGTTCTCAACCTGTGGGTCGCGACCCCTTTGGCAGTCGAACGACCCTTTCACAGGGGTCGCCTAAGACCATCCTGCATATCAGATATTTACATTACGATTCATAACCGTAGCAGCATTACAGTTATGAAGTAGCAACGAAAATAATTTTATGGTTGGGTCACAACATGAGGAACTGTATTTAAAGGGCCAGAAGGTTGAGAACCACTGTGCTAGCAGGAGAGGTAGACTTCTGGCGCAGGGAGAGAGATCAGGGGCCCACCCCTCCTTTTCTCACCCAGCCCAGTTCCCCACAGGCCTAGAAGCCCCTGAAAGTTTCCCCAGGGTATAACTTTAGTCTGCTTCATTTTAATATTTTTTAAATTGACTTCAGAGAGAGAGGGGGAGAGAGATAGAAAGGAAATGGGTTTAAAATGAAGCAGTGTGTGTCCAGCTGGTGTTGCTCAGTGGTTGAGCCTCAACCCGTGAACCAGGAGGTCACAGGTTTGGATTCCTGGTCAGGGCACATGCCTGGGTTGCGGGCTCGATCCCCAGTAGGGGGCGTGCAGGAGGCAACTGATCTATTCTTTCTCATCATTGCTGTTTCTAAGACTACCTGGATGTGTGGTTTGGGGCCTGCCTACTCCTCCTCTTCCTGTCTCTGTCCACTTAACTGTCATTTTTCAAATACTTTAGCACCTCCAAGCTACTCCGGGTCTGGCCGGGGACTAATCTTCCCACAGCTTCCTGCCTCACACACCACCGACGCCCTCGGTGTACACGGCCTACCTACGTGGCCTCTCCAGTTTTCTCTCTCAGCTCCCTTCGCGCACCCTGCTGCCTCCCATCTCTGCATGGCAGTCCTCTTGCTGGAGAAACTTCGGCCTGTTGTGCTCTCTGCCCTCTGCTTTGCTTAGGTCAGCCTGAGACCTTCAGGTCCCAAGTCAAATGCTCTGTCCTCAGCAACAGCTCCCCACCCAGAACAAATCCTGCAATCCTGTTCTTACTACGCCCTCCGGCACCGTCCTCTGGTTTAATTGTTTATAACCTAACACAAGACCAAACCCAGGAGGACAGAGACCCATACTTTTTTCTTTGCTCCCTGCTTTATCCTCAGAATCAGACACAGGACTGTCCGTAGTGCTTGAATGAATAAATAAGAGTGAAGTTGAGGGTTTAGACAGCCTTATAAGTTTCTGCTCCCACTGCCAGCCCCGGGACAAGTATCTCTATGGACAGCCTGCACCCAAATTGCTTCCCATTCAGCCCAAGCAAATATCCCGATTTTGCTGGTTCCACTGAATCTCTACGATGTACTTTCAAACCCACACGTCATGCCAGCAAGACTGCCTTCCCTAAGTATGTGTTTATACAGAGGAACATTCCCATTTCTCAGTAATTGCTATTAATACTTATAGAAGGCCAATCCTCCTAACATTCCCATGAAGACACTTTTTTCCTATTTTGCGTCACCAGAGTACAGGAGAAGAAACTGGTATCCACACACACACACACACAGCATTTGAACAGGGATGTGCTCCCAGGCTACATGGCTGAAAGACCAGTAGCTTACATTCAAGCCCAAATTCTGCAAAAACATCCCAGAAACAAGCCTCCGGGGTACGGTGC